ACTAAACACAATGCTTTAAACATGGTTTTATCATAGATTTGTTGTATAAAGATATTATTATATTGTCAGTTCTTTTTTTCTATTCACTTAATAATGATTCCAAACATCACATTTTTCTTCTTTACAGCAGCTGCACACTGAGTTGACATTTTCATTGAGATGTCTAGCGTAACTTCCAGACCACTTTTCTGATCAGCTTAGATCCCATTAATGGACAACTCAGATTTCTGGGTGCCAATATGCACCACTTGTTTACACTGAAGCAAATTCATTCTATTGAAAGCAACCTATTGAAACTCATCACACTCCCTTTATTTACAATCCAATTTAATATCCCATTTTCCATAGTAACCAACTAGAGATCCCTGGTAGCTTATAATAGACATTTTCTGCTGTTTTTTTCATCAAATAACTGTTATTCAAAATCAAGCTTCCTTCAGACTTAGATGTACACTTACATACACCATACCCAGGATCCATAAATTAATTTTAGTATTTTTTTTAATTGCTAACAGATTTAAGAATTGGTGAGTTAACATTAATACATTAAAAGGTCATTTGTACTAAGGTAGCACATGTAAGTGAAAAAGAAGGCGGAGGGGTAGACATTTGACCTACCTTTCAGAAGCAGGTTTTTTTCCTAAGAAAAACTCAAATTACTCAGATTGTAATTACTTTTCATTAAAATAGTGTTTGATTTTAACAATCCAATGGTGAGGAGAGAGAAGAAGGGAAATAAGCAAATTAATGATTTGCTGAATTGTCACTATACTTCTGTCACCAATAAATCCCTGCAAAGTGATAATTAATTATTATTAAAAGCAATTTCCTTAGTGTGATGAGAAAAATAGTAACTGAGATGAGTGAATAGAGCAGTAAATTCAATAGTATCTGATACACAATAGAATTTTGAACCTACATCAATAGTATAAGATGATACTAAATATACTCTAGAATATTTAGAATATCTAGAAAGAGTGCAGAGAAGCGCAACAAAGATGATTAGGGGATTAGAGGCTAAAACATATGAGGAACGGTTGCAGGAACTGGGTATGTCTAGTTTNTCTATCATCTATCTATCTATCTATCTATCTATCATCTATCTGTCTTTTTGTTTGCGTGGGTATGTGCATGTAAATACCGTGTTTTCCCAAAAATAAAATAGGGTCTCATTTTCTTTCGACCCCTGAAATAAGCGCTTGGCCTTATTTTTGGGGAGGTCTTATTATTTTTGAGGTGCAGGAGGCAGCAAGCATGGTCACCTCATGGCTGCTACTATGTTGCAATATTTTTGAGGAGGGCTTAGTTTCAGGGGAGGGCTTATGTTAGCGCATGCGCTCAAAAGCTCGATTGGGCTTTTTATCTGGGCAGGTCTTATTTTCAGGGAAACAGGGTAATATATAGTGTACATATAATCACACAATAAATAGATTAATGGATCAAACACATCTGGAATCACCATCAAGAAATTAGATGGACACAAACTCAAATTGTAGAGAGATTTGACTGTACCAGCCTAAACAAGGCCAGGACCAAGTATTACCAAACTGTATCCCCCAACAGCAAGGGGGGGGGGGGAAAGCAAGCAAAGACCAATTCAGAACTTCCTTTAACTCTTGAACCTTCCAAACCTGAAAGAGCCATTTACCTTACAGTCTAGTGCAGGGCTGTCAAACTCCTGGCCCGTGGACCGGATGCGTCATGCACTGGCCACACCTTTAGTGAAGGGGGGAAAGTCCTGATATGTCACGTGACACCGCCATGATAACGTGAGTTTGACACCCCAGATCTCATGTAATACTACCCAGAAAGCTACTTAGCCAGATGTTTTCTTCTGTACCTTAAAGAATCATTATCCAGCTATCCAATGGATCTCTGAAATCGTTGGATTTTTCTTTCAAAAAACATTAGAATAATTTTATTCTGATTGTAGGTATTACTCACAAACTGCTTTGAAGATGTTGAACAACAGGTTATAAATCAATGTTTACAACAAAAAAAAGTAGATAATATAAACAGAAGACCATGAGTAGCTTTTACTTTTAGTACCCAACCAAAAAGAAAAAAGAAAGATGGGGGAAACAACTGTATTCAGAGTGACACAAAACATGAAAGAAAAGCATCATTCTAAGAGTGAGAAGTCTCAACTCCAACACATTTGTCTCCCTTGTGAGGCTGCTATAAAGTTTTCGGCCAATATTCCTTTCACATGCAGTTTAACATTTACTCATCTTGTTAACAGAACTATTGCTTAGATAGGTCTGTCCATTTCTAATAAAGGCCCATGTATTAGGATTTGAATGTTCTCTTGATAAATATGACAATAGCTGCTTGGTATATTTTTCTAATTTTTAAAAAAATGGATTTAACTCTGAAACTTTATCAGAGCAGTATATACAACACATATTGAGATGCATAATGGCCTTATTAGAAAAAGAAAATTTGCTTATTACATTTATATCCCATCCCGAGATGCAGGACAGTGTAACAGCATATATAAAAAGGTAAAGGTTCCAACCAAAGTGGTCCCTATTTTTCTACTTGCATTTTTTACATGCTTTCAAACTGCTAGGTTGGCGGAAGCTGGGACAAGTAACAGGAGCTCACTCCATTACGCGGCACTAGGGATTCAAACCACCAAACTGCTGACCTTCTGATCGACAAGCTCAGCCTTAGCCACTGAGCCACCGTCTCTCTTAAGAGCACATATAAGAGTATCTTAATTGTTATCATCTAGCAGGGCCAAAGGCAAATTGGAGGCAATGTTATTAAACCTCCTCTCTAGAACCATGGAGAGTAAAACACTATATCAAGCCAATGAGAACACTCTTCTATCCAATAACTACTGTTATTAAACTACAGGAGGTAGGAAATATAAAAAGTTTAGTACAAAAGATGCATTTACGATAAAGAAAACATCTACTCTTTTTAAAAAATAAATCTAAGTCAGGCACTCATTTCTTTATCTCTCAATTAGATCTCTCAAACTCTAGCATCACCAAGATAAATTGCAAGAAAAGACACTTAGTGTGACACTGGAGGAAGATAAATAGTGAATCATACTGAACATAAGAATCCATATTTGGCCTGATCATAGCCATAAGGCAACATAATTTTGCCACATTGTTTCCACCAGCAGCCCTATTTAAGGTGATCCATACTTTGCTGGGGAGGAACAGGCCCCAGGAACATCTAAAAGGCCACTGTGAGTATACATGCTATATGGTGGACAAAACTGCTGATATTCTATCAGTTGAATTCTAATTGGGCAAGTCCAGATAACTTGCTTTGGGTTATTGATATTATCTAGATAAGCTTGATTCTTTGAATCTTGAGGAACTGGTACTGGTCCTCTGAATTTTGTGAGATACAGGTATCTCCTGGATTGTCAAGATAGCTTAGACTTAGATGGTTAGATCCTTGTAACAGTGTCAGCAACTCTGAGAGAAGGGGTTTTCGCTCCAGCTTTGAAGCAGACAGTGGCATGCCTCTTTCTCAAGAGACCAACACTGAACATTTCCATTCTGGGCAGTTATTGTCCCATCTCTAACTTTCCCTTTACGGGAAAGATTATTAAGAAAAAAAGTCACATAGCAGTTGCATAGGGTCTTAGAGGAAGTCTATTATCTAGACCTGTTTCAGTTGGATTTCAGGCCAGGATTAGTACAGTAGTGAGAGATTATTGAGTCATGCTTGCTGATAACCTTTGGCAGAACCAGGATGAGAGTGATGTGTTCATTTTTGTGCTCCCATCTTTCAGCAACCCTCAATAACCTTCTAGATTACCATCCATATCCTTCTAAGATGCAAGGGTTGGGAATAGTGGGGGCCATGCTGTTCCATTTCCTTCAATGGTCATTTTTAATCAACATTGATAGGGAGGAGAAGTAATGACCACAGCCCTTCACATGTGATGTGCCACAGATTCAATATTCTTGACCTTTTGGTATAACAGCTATATGGAACTGCTGGATGAAATAATCTGTCAGTTCAGGGCCTAGTATTAGCCAAATGCTGAGGATACATATCAACCCTAAGCTGACCAATTCCCCAATCACAACCAGTGTGCAATTTGAGGTCCTCCTGGACTCAGCTACTGTTCAAACAGCAACTTTGCATCGGGCCGCCATGTGCAACAGTTGCACTATTTTCTTAAGTCCTTCAGATGGTTAATCATGCGTTAATCACCTCATGGTTGGACTACTGCAATGTGTTGTACATCTGGAAGCTAGAGGCGGTTCAAAATGCATGGAGTAGTAATGTGCACTTCATTTACACCCATGTGTCATTATTGCTTTGCAAGCCTCAAGTCATATAAACAGCTTTTCGTAGCTTAGCTTCTCATTATTTGAGGGACAGCTTTTCTCTAATTGCTTCTACCTGTCTGCCTCAATCAGGCTGAATTGATATGCTCTGGGTACCTTTAGCCAAATATTGCCATCTTTCAGGAAGGAGGAAGCATGTCATCTCTGTTGTGGCAACTGTCTTTGTAACAACAACCCCCAGAGACACATATACTGTATTTTTCCTCCATAAGACACACTTTTTTCTCTCCCCAAAGTGGGTTGGAATGCCTGGGCATCTTATGGAGCAAATATTGCCGAAGGCCCACCCCACCCCCTTTGACTGTTTTTGGCCTCTGCGCCAGTGGTGGGTTGCACCCGGTTCAGCTGAACCAGTAGTAGTGGTGGTGGGAGGCCCTGCCCACCTGCCCGCTTCTGCCCATGCNTTTAACATTTTCTAATGGTGGTGTGCCTCGTGATTTTTTTCATGAAAAAAGTGTGCCTTTGCACAAAAAAGGTTGAAAAACACTGCTATAGAGAAGGTACACTTCCAGGGTCTCAATAGACACCAAAGGAAACCAGAGCGTACCAACTCTGTAGGATCAATTGGCCAGGCAAATGTTATGGCAACCAGGCCTCGTGCCACGTAGTGCAGTATTATAGTGTTACAGAAAAATATAATCAAATTTTAAAAACTTTCGTTTAACTGAGACTCACCTGGGGAGATGTATTTCGAAATATATCAGTGCCTTCAATCACATCCCTTTTTATTTTTTCCTTGACATTGATGAATTCTTCTTCATTCAGATTAATATCTTCCAAAAGGTGACCACAAGAGCAACACTGCCTGCTACAGTAACAATGAAGTCATATAATAATTATTTTATTATCTACTTATAAAATATTAGCATCTTAAATATGTTTCTCCTTATTATATAGTTCCAGCCTTATTACAATTACCTTTAGGCTGATAGTACAAGATGTCCAAAAAAATCTACCTATGCAAACTCAACTAAATCAGTCTATTGAATTAGCAACCTTTTTTTGTTAAGTTTTGTTATAGCATGCTGGTTTCTGCAGACAGCACAGAAATGAAGTTAACTATGCTACTGGCAGGTTGGCAAAACAAGTATCTAGTAATATTTTGATGGCTTATTTACAAGGCTTGATTGAATAGTTTGATAGAAAAATATTTAAATATTAAGTAAATATTAAGTAAACTTGCAGTTATGTGTAAAAGCTTCAACTGGGTCATTTCAACATAAACCTAAATGAATCAAAAGTTTGTGTATTCTTTCATTCCTTTTTTCCCAGTCACAAGAAGACATGAATCCTAAGGAGCAATAGGACAAACTTCAGTGAAATATATTTAATATTAATTAGGATTTACTGAAACTTGCCACTCAAAATTCCATGATCTGGCTTTCTTTAATTAATCATAATTAAGTTTAACTACACTTTACACTTTAGAACACTAAACAAACATAAATATTTTAATCTGTTCTTGGTTGTGACAAATTAAAAGAGATCAGAGTTATTTAAAGAGCCTGCACAAAGCTCAGATGTATTCAAGGGGTGTTAAATTATTTAATTATTTTTCATAAATGGCACCATTCAAAAGAAACAATAAAGAAATTTAAGAAAGAAACAAAAAGACCAGAACACATCACCTCCAGCAGCCAACACCCAGATAAGCAAGGTTTAAAACCAAGCAAACAAGCAGAAAACAATAATCAAGGAATATAACGAAGAAAAAATCACACCCCCACCAAACTGGCAGGGTAAACTACTGTACAGTATTTACTGTACACTCACTACATTTATTTTGTACCTAGTGTAATGAAACAACTGCAAATAACATCCAAGCAGAGAACACCAAGAACTCCACAGTCCAATCCTGTATACTTACAGTATATTCTCTTCCATTGGAACCAGAGGTGGTATTCAGCAGGTTCTGACCCGGTAGCAGAAATTTTGAGTAGTTCGGAGAACCAATAAATACCACCACTGTCTGGCCCCATCCCCATCTATTCTCTGCCTCCCAAGTCCCAGCTGATCAGGAGGGAATGGGGATTTTGCAGTAACCTTCCCCTGGAGTGGGGAGGGAATGGGGATTTTGCAGTAACCTTCCCCTGGAGTGAGGTGGGAATGGAGATTTTACAGTATCCTTCCCCTGCCATGCCCACCGAGCCACACCCACAGAACCGGTAGTAAAAAAATTTGAATCCCACCACTGATTGGATCCCAAGGGTGCTTTTCCAAAAGGCAAATTCAGTTTCTTGGGTTTTTTCCTTGAAAATGTTTCACTTCTTATCCAAGAAGCTTCTTTAGTTCTGAAATTTGGGACAACTATGATCTGGATGACTGAGAATCACCATAGACTTCTCCTGGGACAATCTTATTTTTATGGTCAGAGAATGGGGGAAAATTCTCAATCCTATCAATCATTTAACTACATAAATCTTTACAGTTTTTCTAATATTTGGAAACTATATATTCAAGTATATCCTCAGCCACAGAAACTCCTATCTCTCACCCCAATCTATCTCACAGATTCCTTCCTGAAACTGTTTATGTAAGCTTCTTTAAGCTTCTACAAGAAATGTAAGATATAAATAAATAAAGATGACACTCAGGCATTGCACTGTACTCTTAAGGCAGATATTAGATTTTCTATGAATTTTAACATAGGTTTTGCAAAATTATTAGAAAAAAGCCTGGAATTATATAACCCTTGAATGAAAGATGAAAATCTATTGGTTCCTTTTGAAGAAGTAATTGAAGCTAAACATGAGACAGAACTTTAAAGAAATATATTTACCTCTTACTCATCGTTGTCAAATTTCCTTTCCAGTTCTCCCCTGGAATACTATTAAAATGCATAAAAATGAGAATCCAATTAAAATAATTCAAACACATCCAAAAGAAGTATTTCCTGCTATTAGATCCAAATGAAAGCATCAATAATGAACTGGATTTACACAAGAAAGATAAGAAAGATACGAAAGATAAGAAAAATACACAAGCTTTTTCTTTAAATTTTGCAGGCTACATCTAAGCAGTCATATATAGAATTAAAGTGTAACTGCAATTTTACTTACATAGAAACCCCATTCAATATTTAGAATATATTACTTCCAATCTATCTGTCAGGGTTTTGATAGGATTCACAAATTCACAAGCAGGGACCCAGAGAATATAAACAAGCAATTCTTATAAGCAAATGTAGGAAAATCACTTGATCTGAATCCAAAAAATAGAGGTTTAGAATCAGCTTTCATGGCTCAGGGACTGTTATTTCTTGATTTACAATAAAGAAAGTGTTCAAATAGGAATCTCTGGGAAGTCGCAGGAAATTTCTGTCACCTTTGGCAGAGCTTGGCAATAACTATTTAATTAAAATTAGATATAAAATATTGCAGCATTTTCCTGTTTTAGTAATCATATCAGTAAACATATACTACATCTTTTAAAGAAACTATAGGAGCATTACAACTTATACTTAAATATTCTATTTTTTGTAAATGCATTGTTTCTTTAATAATAGCAGCTTGTTAATGACATTTTTTAATATGGAGATTGAGCAGTAGTCTTTAAGACTGCTTGATTATCTCATTGACTAGGTTCACATATCACACTATGCTATAAGCCATCTACAATATAAGCCATAATATGGTTTTCCTACTTGTAGCTAAGTGCAGTTTATAAACAAAGGTTTATAAAATGATTAATGAATATGCCATGGCTAAGCAACTGAAGCTCAGTCTGATGAGTAAACCCAACTATTGGCTTAAGCGATAATAAACTTCAAAGCAAAATGAGAGTATATTCATAGGAGGCTGAGTTTACATATCACGTAGACCATAGGTATCAAACTCGATCGTGTCACATGACGAATCATGAAATATCACTATGTTTTTTGCCTTTGTGGAGCTGGGGTGGGCATAGTCTGTCCATGACGCATCCAGCCCACAGGTCACCAGTTTGATAGGCCTGATGTAGGGCATCATCTGGCTTTGAGTTTTTTATTTATATGTACACAATAGCTGAAGGTTGTAAATAACAATTATGTATTGTTCACATAAATTAGGTATTCCTCATTAAACCAATCTTGAATATAACACGGATGGCTTATAGCAATGTGTGCAAACTTCCCATAGATTTGATAGTTACATATATTTCTCATCAACTTTACAACATAAGCAGATTATTTACTAATCAGTATTTAAAGTGACAATTATTTTAAGCAACTTTCATTTAAAACATGAAGAACAACTATTACTGGCTTTATTTACCTTTCAAACCACTGCTTTATGCTCAGCATGAGAGATTCATCAGGATAAATTTGATTCTCTCTTAAGTAGTAGAGGATATCAATACATTTGTTTTTCACATGGTCATCCTTCACAGATTGGCAAAAGTCAAAGAAAAGCTTTATTGTTGTCAAAGCAGGAGTCATCTTTTCAGCTACCAACTCATGAAACAATTCAAATGCAAGGTTTCTTTCTTGGTTGAGTAGGGCACCCTCAATGCAGTCGCCATAATTTTGTCTTGAATGGAACGAGACTTTTTTAACCTTTTCCAGTAGTACCAAAGTCTCTTTCCAGTGTGGGGAATCACTCAAGCCTTTGATGAGCAAAGAATAAGCTGATGCTTCTAAAGATTTATATTTGGCTTTCATAATATTATAGATGTCATAAATCTCCCCTATGTCCTTATGAAAAACACATATAGCCAAGTACTTCACCAAATAACTATATTCAACATCTCCATCACGTTTAGCCACTGCAACCAGCAAGGATTTAGCCACATCTACTGGGCTATGATGATTTATCATGCTGTCAAACATAACGTCTTCAAATTTTTTAAAGTGATGATATTCTTCTTTTAACTTCTCCCATTCCTTGGCACTCAAAGGTGTGTCCGGAGGAGGGACTATCTTTAAAGGACTAAAAGAATCATTTGCAACTGAATTATTTGTATTGTCCATTGCCCTCATCTTGGATGATCCAGCCACAAATGCAATGAAAGGCTTTGGGGGAAATCTATCTTTACCAGCTTTTTTCTTCCTGATATTGTCATCTTTTCTTTTAATTTCTGGATGAAAGGCTTTAGGATCTGTCGACTCTGCCCATCTACATGATGTAATAGAAGTAAAACACCTACACATAGCTGGGAAGTTTTGCTTTGCTGACACAGGAAGGAATGTTAATGTTTGCAAAACCCAATTTCTTTTTGGGAGGAAAAAACCCATAATACTGAATAATTAAAACTGAACTTTAAAAAAAAAAAAAAAAAGAACCAGAATGTAATAAATATATGAAAAATAAGGAAATTGACAGGTTGTCAAAAAAGCTAGAATAATAAATTATTGATGTCACTAATATATTTATCTCATTAAAACAAAAGTGTTTATCATCCTCAGAAGAAAATCAACCAAAAAGCCAATTTGAAATGAGAACTTCTTTTTCTTCATTTGTTAAAATGCTTGACAGAAGCATATTTCTGAAGTTCCTTCATTAGTGGTACCTGCATACAGGAAAGTCAAGCACAATGATATGAGACTTTCATTCAGGTCAGACTGCATGAAAACAGATATTTCCTTCAAATGACAAAGATAAATTATACATTGCACTCAATAAGTATGGTGATATCTTACTTACCGAATCAGACTCAGTTTTCAGTACTTATAATCATCTTATAGAGACAAACTAGTTCTGTAACTAGCCTTAAAATTGAGACCTGCAGGGCTGCCATGGATCAAGAATCTGATTTCACTTTTAGAACCTGTCAACAAGTATAGTCAACAGCATAAGGCTGCCCAGCAAAGGTATAAAAGAAACAATCCAGGAAGCTGTATTGTCTGTTCCTACCACCTTTTTTCTTTTAAATTTAGCATTAGAGTAACTAAGTAGCTTTATTGTAGTCACAGACCAGTATTATTATGTATTGGTCTTTTAACTACAATAAAGACACTTATTTATTAACTCAATAGTTTAAAATCAATCATATACATATACATAACACAGCAGAATTTAACTAACTTAGGGTAACAGTGTAATGGATAACTGAGAGTAAAATAAGTAAAATTAATCAGAATGAACAGGGATTATCCACCCTGTGGGTCAGCATAAAACGGGCAATGCTGTATAACAACAACTATTTATATAATGTATATAAATGTATGTGTAATAAAATACATTTAATAGTTTTAATAGCCTGTTCACATGAGCAAAACCTTTATCTAAATTTGATGCCTTTATAACTCCTTTCTAAGGCATCAAAGAATGCCCTCCAAATGAAAGGACGGTCATGCAATTTAGGTATTTAGATGGTATGTATGGGGCATATTTTTGGAAAGAGATGTAATGGGACATTAATATTTTTAATCTGCTGCCTGAGGGCCACACAGGATGAACTTCAGTTGCTTATTGGAAGGGTACTGTAAGTCACATTTGGCCACCATGCCTCAAAATTAAACTGATCCCCCTTTCCATTGAGTTTTTTTATTTTTTGCAAAGACGTTTATTTCTTTTGCAACTGTTATTTTGAGATCTATAATTGAGGGGCCTGCCTGGGTGGCTAAACTGCTCAGCTATTGCTCTACATCACCCCATTCCTAAGAGGTCTGTAAGGGACGTGCATAAGTGCACCAACGTGCCCACCATCCCCACTTATTCGTATCCTGTATTCATAATCATGTTTATACTTATATCTGTTATCTTATACATGCTTGACAAAATAAAATAAATAAAAATACTTGTTCCCAGCCTTGATCTCAAAAATCTGAAGAACACATTGGTTAAACGAGGATGTACCTGTAATCTCCTTTTCCTTTCTCCCCTCCCCTCAACCCTATAGATTTGTGTCCATGCCACGCATCTGACTCAATTAGCTGCAACTCGCTAAAGCCAATGCGTTATAATCATATTAATCTTAAAAGATGCTAGATAGATCGGATTTCCGGCTAGCATAGAATAACTTGGCTCTCCTGCTGCAATGTCCCTTCTTAAATAAATAAATAAAAAATCCACCTTGTTAGCTTGCTTGCCAATTATTTGGCAGACATCGGGATCTCCCAGAACAGAAAAACTCAGGCCACATTACCAAAGGCACCGGTTCAATTCTTGTTAGCTAAAGCGCACCGAAGCGTAATTTATAATACCATAGTGTCTTACACAGGCAGGTTAAAACAGGGCCAACTTAGTCCGGGGCGATGAAGACAATCGAGTCAAAACTCTACGGGAAAAGCCGCAGCCAACCGTAATAAGGGAACCACGCGCACTACTTTTTCCGGAAATTTCCTCCAATCGAAGCATTCTCGTCTGATTGGCCGATTAGCGCACGTGACACCTACGCAGCGGTGGGTAGAGAACCAATAGTCGGCAGGCAGCAGCCATATTAATTAACTCACACCCACCCACCGCCACTTTCCGTTTTCTCCCTGTACGTTAAACAGCGGCGTCTCTTCCCCCCACCCGCCCCATCCTTAAACTGGAGGGAGGAGAAGGAGGAGGGATTATATGACGGGTTCGCCGTTTCCCGGACGTTGCCGATAGTGACGACGGTTGGTGGGGGTGGGGGAGGCGTCGTACTTGACTGAGGCGGGAACGTCACGGGCGATGGATTGGAAGCAGGCGCTGAAAGGCCGGGTGGTTGTCAGTACCGACAGTGAGTGGAAGAGGGACTTTAAAAAAAATTAGTCCGGTGGCGCGTGACTGGGAAGCGTATCTGTTAAACGGCGAGGGCCTGCCCGCCTGGCGCTCCTCTAGGTTTTGCCTCGAGGTAGAACGCGCTATCTGCGCTGTCTCGGAATCTGAGGGAGAATAGAAAGGGTTTTTGTAGCCTTCGGCGGGTAGTGGTTGTTTTTAGGCTCCGTGTTTCACAGCAACGTCAAATGAGATTTAACACTATCCTATTGTGAATGAGATTTAGTTTATTTCACTGGCCTCTGTCCTAGTAATCATACAGCGTGAAAGGATAGAATAGAATAGAATTCTTTATTGGCCAAGTGTGATTGAACACACAGGGAATTTGTCTTTGGTGCACATATGCTCTCAGTGTACATAAAGAAAAATAAAATAGAATACAGTCATCAAGAATCATAAGATACAACACTTAGTGATAGTGTTAAATCTCATTTGACGTTGCTGTGAAACACGGAGCCTAAAAACAACCACTACCCGCCGAAGGCTACA